TTCGAGTTGATTCTCCGGACTCAGTCCGTTACCACTCACGAGTCACCAACTCACAACCATCCTCTCTTTCCCTCTTTCCGCACTTTAGCTCTGCAAAATTTCAATCCCCTCACCGTTTTCTAGGGTTTTTCAAACCGGAACCCACCGAGCCAAAACGCCCCAGTCTCGCCCCCACCCGCGGACGCAGCACACCCTTATCCTGGACCTCCCACCACCAGATTTCTAGGGTTTTTTCATGTTCTGCAGAGCTTTCATGTCTTATGAATGGAGATTATTTCCCTCACTCTCTCTTCTCCCCAAACCTTCTTTGTAGCCCTAATTTTTACTTTTCTCACCTTTTTCCTCGCTCTCCTCGCCGTCCGATCACTCCCCGGCAAACCCAAATCGGGCGGCGCTGCCTCTGCCACCTCGTCGTCGAGTGGAAGCGGAAAGGCCTGCCCTTGCTGTACTAGTCACCGGGAAGAGGTCGTTTCGGGCTCCGATTCGGGGCCCGTGAGCGCGCCGCACTTGAACGGCGGGACGGGTACGGACTTGACGGAGAAGCCGACGGCGGCGGCGGCCGTACTGGAGCGGCATACGGACGCGTCGATGATGGAGCAGCTGGTTCCGGAGATTACGACGCATGCCCTTAGCTATCTGGACTACCCGAGCCTCTGTAGGCTTTCGATGACCAATAAACACATGCGGTGGGCCGCCAATGATGATAATGCTTGGAAGGCGCTTTATCATAAGGTACGTGATTACTGAATTTTTTGTTGCATTTGAAGTATTTGTATGTGGGTGTTTGTTGAATTTTGATTTGAAGCTAAGATGGTTGCCCAATTGAAGGGATTGTGTTTGGTTGCAAAGAAAATGTGGGAAAATTGGGACCCTTTATTCATCTCTATCAACCGAAAATCCGTTGTGATTGCGTTTATAGTATTGGAACTTCGGAATGTTGTTTGACGTATGGTACATTTTCTAACTTAGGAATGTGGTTTGACATGTGGGATGGGATTAGGCTTTTGTACGGTTATTTATGGCACATTTCGGTGCCTGAGAGATTACAAGATTAATCCCTTTTATTTGCTTTTCGTATCGGTTTTGGTTAATGGAATGTTGTTTGACATATGTGATGAAATTAGGATCCTCCATGTTACCTATGGTACATTTTCTGACTTGGGAATGTGGTTTGACATGTGGGATGAGATTAGGCTTTTGTATGGTTATTTATGGTACATTTTCGGTGATGAAATTAGGATCCTCCATGTTACCTATGGTACATTTTCTGACTTGGGAATGTGGTTTGACATGTGGGATGAGATTAGGCTTTTGTATGGTTATTTATGGTACATTTTCGGTGCCCGAGAGATTACAAGATTAATCCTTTTTATTTGTTTTTCGTGTCGGTTTTGGTTAATGGATATCATTGGCTCTAGTCTTCTGCATGAAGTTTTCATTCCTTTAAATGGTGAAATTTCTTAAATTTAAACTTCCTACTGCATAATGGTTTTAGCGCATGGATAGCATGGGATTTAGCCCGAGAGATTGTGTGTTGAGGCATGTGTTTAGTTTAATTTGGAAACAGAGATTTTGTCTGTCTTTGAGAGCCTAGCCGGTGTCGGTTTCTTATGTACTGGCATCTGATACCAAAACATTTGTAAGAATATTTTGTTATGGGCCTTCAAATTTTCTTTCAGGACTTCACTTTGGAACAGGATAGCGTAACACCAGTTAATGGATGGAAAGCTTACTATGCTGCTACAAGAGCGATTGTGAATGTCAATACTGAATTCTTTAACTTTATCCGAGGAAGGTCACTTCCAGAAATGAGTCGTTTATGGCTGAATGCAGATTATGTGAAGTGTGTTCATGCCTCTGGAGAACTCTTTTCGGGGTAAGATGCCTCATTTGTGTACAACTGTACAACAACTGCATTTTTATGACTGTTTTCTTCTGTTAAGTTCATCCAAGTGATTGGGATTTTTTTTTTCTGTTTTTTTCATTCACTACCAGACCCTTTTTTGTTTTCATTCTGAAACTCCTGTTCTGCCTTGTGTTTTAACGGTTTTCTTTATTTGATGGGAGTGAAATGCTATTTTTTGAAACTTAGATTTAGGTAAAACAGTCAATCAAATATACATGACAGTTATTAGATGGCTTTCGGGTAGGGGTTATTGACATGACAGGAAGATCCCGTTCAATTATTTTTGGATTTTGGTGGAAATTGAAAGAGTGAGGGTTTGCGTATTGATCTTGAAACATTATTAGTTGTTTCTTTCTCTATAGAGCTGATTTTATTCTTGTGGTTTTAAATATCCATAACGCCTCTTTGGTTTTACGTTTGTGCCTGATTAATATATGACACCCGGAGCTAAGTCATTTTTGCTACCTCTTTAGGTACAATGCTGTTATACAGAGTTGGCAACTAGCATTTAATTGGGAGCAAGGGGTTAACTTTCAGATTCGAGATGTGCGTGCACGGGTTCTGACAGACATGGCTTGGGTTACCATGAAAACCTATGTTGAAATCGAAACTGGGCCATTCAGCGTGACCAACGTCTATGAGTTCCATAACGGGCGATGGTACATGGTGCATCATCATAGCTCTGTGATGGATGTAGAGGGAGAACAGCAGATTGTGCAGGGGTAACAAAGAAAGGAAGATATGATGATACCGATTATATAACTTAATACTAGTTTTAAGAAAATAGTGGTATCAATTGGAGGAGAAAGTCGATTTAACTTTCGATATATTTTCCCCGGAAAGATGTTTTTAATTTTTCCATCCTCAGTTTTGGTTGATTTTCTGGTAAAGGGGGTTTCCTTCCCTTTTCTCTCCCTGTTATTGCTATTATCATAATTGTTGATAATTTGTATTTGCGGAATTAATTAGTTGGATATAAAAATGAGTTGGAATGAGATCTAAAGCTTGAATGAACAAGGGACCTCAGAGTTCAAGTCTCATGAAAAGAGTAAGATATAGGGGGTTTTGGTATCCTTCCTGGTTTCGGTTCTGTTTTTTAAACTACGTGAGGACTGAGGAGTAACAAAAAGTTGAATCCTTTCCTGATGATTTTCACAAGAAATAACTGTAATCCGTTTGCTTACCTAATTTTGCACCAATAGCAGTCCACATTTAGAGGGGTGTAGTCAATCTGAGATTTGAGAAGATTTTAAAAGACTTTAAAATCCTAGTGTAGTCAATTAAAAGATTTTAAAGGATTTTAGAATCTATACAAATTTAGGTTGTAGTCCATTGAGATTTTATCAGAGATTTTAAAGTCCATCCAAATCTAAGTGTATTAAAAAAATTAAGATTTTGGAAGATTTCAATAAGTTGTGGATTTTGTGGGATTTGAGAGCAAAAGGTATATATAACCAAGACTAAAATGAATCCAACCTCACCCCTTAGGATTTCAAATCTTTTTCCATCTGGGACAGTCCTCAAATCTCTACCAACCCCAGCCACACAAGGTACCACCATATACTTTGGTAGAATCTCTTTTTGTAAGCGTTTCACAGTATTGTACACAGTTTGAGCTGAGTTTTTTTTATGAGTTCTCGAGTCATAGGGGAATCACGTTGATGCATAACCATTAGAACCCAATGTAGTGTTCAACATCATTGATTCCTACTCTACAGAATATTAGTTTGAAGCATTCAAGGATATATCATATATAGAATTTTGGTTAATAATGGAAAATTGAAGTTACAGTTAGGCTTGGTTGACTGCAAGGTGTGCAAGGGTGCAAGTAACAATTTATGATACTAGTTTCCTGTATTATTACGACCCCTAGACCTTAATTAGGCATGTATGATCATCGAAGGAAATGATCAATCTAGGATTTTGGTTAATGATACTCTCTCACCATTCTTATTTTTTAATGTCTCTGGTACTACAAGCACTACTGAAGTACCACATCGTATGTCTCTGGCAAAAGGGCAGTCGATGGTGATGGTTGTTGATGATGTAGTGCTCAAAAGCTCACCAAAGTTCTATTCATCTATCAATTGAGAGAGAGATGGAGCCATGATGGTGTGAAAGAGACCCGAAAAGGGAGGGGATAAAGTGGCTATCGAGTACAGTAGCGTAAGAGATTCTGCCTTATAATCGGGAATATATATACGTCACCAGATCAATGTGTGACATACATACATTTGGGTGTATATGGGGTATATACCTAATATTTTTTTGGAAATATATTTCCAAAACGTGAGTGAGATACTTATATTTGGATGCATCTGCAGTTATACCCAAGATTTTTCGGAAATATATCTTTAGGATTTTTTCAAGTGAGACATTGAGATGCATATACATGAGGATTTATTCAGTTACACTCAAGATTTTCTCCAATGAAAGATGATCCATAAGCTTATAATTCTTAACAAGAACGAATTAGTAAAAGGATGAGAGAAGTTAGAACTACAAAAAGTAAGGAAAGGGAATCGGATCAACTAGTCACGCTAATTGATCCATTTCTTAATTGTTAGTATTTAATTAATGATTTATAAGGAAAGTTAAGAGGTGAAATGATTATTATATCTACGCTTTTGGTAAGCACATGAAACTTAAGAATTAAAATGATTCTAATTCCTATTCTTGCACCAGTCAATGAATGTTGAAATTATAAACTATGTGTTGAATGTCAGTAATTGATTAGTAACGGGTTTTGCAGCATAATGTAAGCATGATCAATTAATGCTCGATCGAAACACTAATTTTTTCGTGCGTGTTTATGTTGAGTTAACATGTTGTTCGTAATTCTGTCGAGTCTAGGTGATCTAACCATCTCAGAGAAACATAGGTAAAAGGAGCCAAAAGGGGTTTGTTAACGTAACTGAATAAATAAAATGCGTGAAATAGATAACCATCTGAGGTTCCATGGTCTAGCGGTTAGGACATTAGACTCTGAATCTAGTAACCCGAGTTCAAATCTCGGTGGAACCTCCAACCATTTTCTTTTCTCCAATTTTTTTTTCACGCTTTTTAATTTTTCTAAATCTCGATGTGAACCTCACGATTGAAAGAAAAAGAGTGGGAAGGAAATTATCCAGTCCTCTCACTCCTCTCATCCTGCTGTGAAAACAATGGGAACATACCTTCTCTCACCTCCCATCCCACTCTCGCACTTCCCTCACACCACCACCGCCACCGCCACCAAGACATGGCTGCAATTCCATCCCTCTACAACAACTCTCATCAAAACCTCCTCCCCATCTTCTAAATCTCTCACCCTTCTCTCTTCAACTTCCTCACCTTCCTCAGTTGCAGAAGATGATGATTCTCTTGCTTCCCCATCACAGCCCCCCACTCAACAGCTTCCCCTCAGGTACTCCAAATCTTTCACCTCATTCTGTCACAAACCCACTAATTGGAACTTGGATTCCATCCCAAATTTTACATCTTTTTGCAGATATAGTATAATTTGAGAACTTTTCTGTGAGTTGATTTAAGTTTCTCTTTGGAAAAGTTGTGAACTTTGGTATGCAGGTGGTGTGAAATATAATATAGATTGCATCACTTGGAAACTTTTTGTTCAAATTTTGATTCTTTAATGTGGGATTTAGCTCTATGATTCTGAATTTTGATGATTAATTAAGGGGAACGAAACTTTCCGTTGATTCTCGTGTGTAGCGGGAGAAAAGGGGTTTACGGAAATCATTACGCTTAAAGAACATGTGTGTGTGGTATGTGGTGTTTAATGTGAACCAAATTTGGTGCAGTGGTTGTAAGTCCTGTGGGAGAGAGGAGGTGGAGAAGGGATGCAATGGGGAGGGAAGGATTCAGGGTGGAATTGCAACATTTCCAGGCTTTGGTTGGTGGCCTATAAAAGCTTACAGGCCCTGTCCTGGTTTTGTGGAATCTGGCGGCCGCTACAGGCGACAAGGGCAAAGCTTGGATGAGGTTGCCTTCGGAAGAGGGGGAAGAGGAGACTAACACTAAGGTAAAGATTTTGATTTCCCTGTAACAAGTAGGGATTGCTTTCCTAGTTTGTGTGTATAGCTCGAATGCTCGAGAGCAGATTACTGCATCGATGTTACTGAATACAATGTTATGCTCACAAATGAAATTGATTAGCAATGTTAAGGATGCTGCTTTCCCATAAATTTGGATTAAGCATTTAAATAAATGTTTCACAAATAAATCTATGCAAAAAGAAGTTTCGTTCGATTCTGAATTTGTCATCTGGTTTGTGCTGAAATCAAATCTCACTACACCCTAAGTGTAGCATCCACGAATCATGATACAAATTACTTTCCCGTCTTTAAAGTAATTCAATGATCATTGCTCATCCAAAGTTTAGATCTTCTGCAAGATATCAACTCCGATCTTATGTTGTTATTTCGATCACCTGATACTTTCTGCCAGACTTGTTGGCTTGTTATTTGTTATATTCTTCTACTTATTCTGTGTCATGTCATGTCATGCCATGTATATGCAGACTAAAGAAGGTCCAAGGACAGAAGAGGTAACTGCATCTCGGTAGAGCTTTGACGACGTATAGTTGATAACAAGTGTGAAGTCGTATAGGCGATGCCCAATTGGAGGGTTTTAATGTGAACCATCTGGTATATATCTACCACATTGAATTGAAAACTGGATGTGTGTTATATTTTCCTATACAGTTCAGATTCTTGTAGTCAAAGATTGATGCCGTGGTAAGTGTCATCGGAAAGTCCCTCTTTCCGGTGTTGTATCTTCTATCTTGTATATGAGCAACTCAAAGTTTCTGTTTCCTGACTAGAATCATCAGCTTAGATACTCACTTTGTTGCTCCCCGTCTTCTTATTAACAACACCGGGGTTCATTTCCAGATGATAATCGTTGGAGCCGATTGGTAATGAAGTCAAGTGTTGCTTGCTATCTTCTCGTTTTCTCTGCTTCATGCTTCGAATTGTGTTCAGTGAGATGAAAAGTCCGGTTTCTCAGGTCCATACCATCTTTTCCCCGAAACAAACACTGACCGCTGCGCTCGAGTTGTTACATTTGTGATGTGATTCGTGATAGTAAATAATAATTATTGGACCGAGAAGAAAAATTTTGATAGAATTGCCAAACTAAAAACAACTTTCATATTAAACAAGATTAACGTGGATTGAATAAGACCAAAATAAACTTGATTTCATGTTTTTGTAAAGAATATCTTACTAATGACGTGAACAATCATCCCTACTCAAGGTTTTTTTGGAGAATAAAAAGTTGTCGGATGCTTTTTATGCCTTAGACCAGTAAAATGGTGAAACGTGATGCATAACTGTGCTCCATTGCGCGCGGAATAGAAGCCCATTTTTGACAGCACCACCAAATACACAAGAATTCGGAGGCGCAGAGTGACACAGAGCTTCCCCAATTAAGCAAAAAAGAAGAAAACTTTTCAGAGATTTTCTGCGCCACAACCGAAAATTGAATTAAAATGGAAGCCGAAACCGAGCAGAAAATCGAGAAGACGGTGCGGAGAATCCTGGAGGAATCGGACATGGACGAGATGACGGAGTTCAAGATTCGGAAGCAGGCCTCCGAAGAGCTGGAGCTCGACCTCTCCAAGCCCCCCTACAGGGCTTTCGTCAAGCAGGTCGTCCAGTCCTTCCTCGAGGAGCAGAATCAGAAGGAACAAGCAGCAGCGCAGAAGGATGAAAACCCAGAAGCCGAAGGTGCCCAGGAACGGGAGTACGATGATAACGGCGATCTCGTGATTTGCAGGGTCAGTTTTTTCTGTCTGTTTCCCGATAAAAGTTGAATGGAATGTATTTTCTGTTGTTGGGTTTTGATTTTTTTTAGGTTTTTTGTTTATTGGGTTTTGGTTGTGATATGCAGCTCTCGGCGAAGAGGAAGGTGACGCTTCAGGAATTCAGAGGGAAGAATTTGGTGTCGATTAGGGAGTTTTATTTCAAAGATGGGAAAGAGCTTCCTACTGCCAAAGGTGATTTACTTAACTTTAATCCGATTATTAGCAGATTCTAATTCTGTGCATTTATATCAAGAAATGATTTGAGTTTGTAGCTGAAATTTCTGCTTATAGAGCTTAATCACAATTCATTTGTCTGGATTTGTTGATGGATGATGTCAATGCGACTCGTGATACTGAGTTCCAAGACGTTGTGAATAAGCTTTTGTTACATTGCTGCATTTTGCACAATCTGAATCTTGAATGTGTTCTTCGGCACAACGAACTTATGACTTAGGTTGTCATCTTGGTAGCAAAGGATTGGTGAGGGATTACGAAAAAAAAGGCTGAGTACCAAACCGGTCTTAGTAAACTACCAATGCCAATTGCTCTTCTTGTTTTCTGCATTGTTGTTTATAGTCAACGATGGTGGTAGTAGAGTACTAGAGTGGCTTTCAGTCACTTGTTTCCTTCTATTTTTTATACCCCTCGCTCCCTGACATGGATCGATTATGATCGATTATGACGAGAATAGACTTCTCTGTAGACTGTATTGCAATGTAATAGAAGAGTAACAGTCCACTTCCTTGGGGTTTCTCCCTTCTCGCTTATCGTTGTTTATTCAAAGTGCTCCATTCAGGAGAGACGGCTTATGTGGGAAAAACTTCAATTACTGTCCTAAGACATACAAGGTCTTGGATGGTTACGGTTGATTTTAATGCAATTTCATGTGTCTGAAAATCTTGATGTCGTTGCCTTCTGTGTATGCAACTAGTCTGTTATACCAAAATTGACCGAAATATTGCTTGTTTCTAGATTTCTTATACTTCTGCGTTGGTTGAACGGATACTGGTGACTGTCTTTTGTTTATTTACGGTGGTATTTATGTAAACATTTGTCTGCAGGAATAAGCTTGACAGAGGAGCAATGGTCAGTCTTCAAGAAGAATGTACCTGCTATAGAGAAAGCCATTAGTAAGATGGAGTCAAGAATCTGAGAATATCATCTGAAAATATCGAAATGTCTAATCCTTTTTAATCTATAGTACGTTGTTGGTTATAATGACATGGCTTGGGCTTTGGGGCTTCAAATTGGTCATTTGATGTCAGAATATGTTGTTTAGAACTCGAATACTGCTGTCACGTTTCTAATTATCCCTTAATGTTACGAAAGCAACCTGTTGCGTTCCCTGCTATCTACCGAAAGTTCATAGTTTACCCCTTGAAACCCTAAATTGATTGTCGTAGCAGATATGGATGATTGAAAGAGTGGTGTTGAATCGGTTCTAGTTACCTTCCATGTTTTAATTCAAGCATTCGAACAAGAAAGAACGAGGAGGAAAGAAATAAAGCATAAATGGAGGATGTTCTAATCCTTCATATTTGAAGAGATTCTTGTGTGTGTGTGGTGCATCCGAATCGACATGAACAAATGGGTTTTAAACCTCTATGCATTCTTTTTCTTTTGCTCTTTTTCGAGGATTAAGCTGTTTTCGGAAACAAAAAGCCAGAGAGCGATACACAGACTCATCGAATGTTCGTCATATGTACAAAATACTAAAAGAAAGTTCACAAGATAATCTTAACATAAGATGTGCTTAATCAAGTCTCAAGTTTTAGCCCTCTAAAACATTTGATTTGCCCTAAAAAATCTGAAAAGCATTGGGACAGAGAGACATGATGTTTCATATGACCGAGCTTTTTATATCCCAGGATCAGTTGGGGGCACCTTAAACAAGTTGGAGAAGATGGGCTTCCTCCAACCTCCTGCTCCTCCCCAAAGGCTCTTTGTATGCTTTGGAGTGCTTGCCCCTGCTCCTCCACTTGCAGCCATCCTCATCGTCTCAATCAGCGCCCCTGCGTCGCCATTTTCAGAAAATAACTCCTCCAATTGCTTAGTGTCAATCACCAGCTTCACCCTCCAAACCCCGTCGCCACCAGACGGCAGCACCTCAAGAGCCGACGACCCTTTCGCCAAATTCTCCACGAAATCTGATCCTGCACAAAATGACTTCTTCACAGGCTCAGGTTCAGCAGCCTCCATGACTTCAACTTCTGATCCTGCAACAAATGACTTCTTCACAGGCTCAGCTTCTGCAGCCTTCTCTAGGACTTCAACTGCAAGATTTGATGACCCGTTTGCCGAATTCTCCACGAAATCCGGTAGCGCACCAAATGACTTCTCCACAGGCTCAGCTTCCGCAGCCTCTGGTTTCTCAGCAACCCCATGTTTGCAAACCAGTGGCTGTGGCTTCAGCGGAAGAAGATAGTACTGGCCACTAATTAGGGTTTCTTGGTCAGACATCGGTAAGGAGGCCTTGCCCTGTTGGAAAATGCCATAGCCTGGAAAACCAGTGAGGATTTCAGCAGCTAGTTTAGGGCCTTTAAATTCTAGGACAGCCCCAGAATCTGTAAGAACCCTAATAGATTTAGGACACTCCCCAGAGGTTCCTGTGAGTGATGAACAGTTCCCCATTGTCAAATAATTTTTCCCACCTGTGGTCACAATTTCAGTGCCCACATATATTTAAGGTTTTGGAATCTTTTGGCAAAATATTAATGGGCAGACACTGGATGGAGGTTTGTCAGAAGAGACACACAGATTGTGTTTCTTTCAAAATATGTAAATATGGCTGCATGTGAAATTTTGAACCGTTGGGACAATTATTTTAGAGTCAAATTTTGAGTTGATCCAAGGCAAAGGAATAGAATAAGAGGTAGATTCGTGAGTTAAAATAATAGTAGGAAATGCGGCAGTTGGAAGAAGAAGACTGGATTCAAAATTTGAGTGGGTAGGGGATTTGTATTTGCCTGTGAAATCTTAGGTGATTGATGTTCCAAATATCTTAAAGTGTTAATTAGGCATTGAATTAGGTCTTCAATTTTGAAAAATATGTTCAATGTATCAGTGTCACGGGTTGTATAGTGCATACCATTAGCTAAACTTTGGTGTAAATCTTCACAGGGAAAATAGGAAAAAGTTAATAAATATTTCGACAAGTTAAAGTAAAGTTTTGATCTAACTAACGAGATGAATGAATCAAATTCTAAACTTCGGACAAAAAGATGAATACTCTAAACTAACTGCATGTAAGCACTTTTGTATAGAGATAAGATTTGTTATAAGAGTCCCCAAGTAAATGGACCAACAACACAATCAAATAAAGGCATATAAACTCGTGACTTTGACTTATGCTCAATATTACTAGAGATAAATAATGTGGGTGTAGCTATATTAGCTAGATCGCTATCCCTATGCAGAGTTAGAATCTTCTTTTTTACAATGATAATAGTTTCCAGTAAAATATCATATAACTAAGGTTATTGAATCTTATCGCAGTTGTGGTACGCATGCAAAGATAAAAGAACACACTGTGATGGCGAGACATATTTGAATGCAACTACATCATAAAAGTTGTCACTCATTGAGCCCACGTACATGGAGATATAATTATGATGTCTGCAATATTATTTGTTCCATCAATTCTGTGTATACATGGGACCTCTAGTAAATATTTTCCACATTGCAGTATTTGTTTGAGCGGTGATCCACGCACCTTCCCATTTTTGTTTTGTCTGCATCTCACGAAGAGAAAACATATACATATTCATCTTAGTTTTCATGTTTCAGAATTTTAAGATTCGAGGATTGATCGAACGCTCTCGCTCATTGCTCAATAGGTATCGAGAGGACTCGATCAGTGTTCGAGATGGGCCTTGTGTTTTAAAATAAAGCGGAGTAAAGCATGCAAATGGGGTAGTACGTACCAGAGTGGTATTTGGCACAGTGGTGAAGTGAACAACCAAGTTTGCAGTAGTGAATAGTCTCATCAATCACAGTTGGAGCCTCAGCCGTTTCACACATGTTGTAACATTTTTCGACGCATTCTGCAGTTAGAGACAAACCGCAATGTCGAAGGCACCTTTCGAGACATTTTCTGTCCACTGCGATTGCAGGCCTGGTGCTATTAAGAGAAAGAATATCATCATAATCACCACAGAGCTGGTATGGGCGACGAAATTCAACTTCCTTTTTTTGAGTTTCCAACTCAACAGTCGATATTTGACAGTGTACCCTAATTTGGAACAGTTTAATTGTGTGCCAATCCAGAAGCTTATACAGGGACACCTTTACATAAGGTCATCTCCAACTGAATGGTCCAGAGGGTCAAAGGGTCGAAAATAGCCCAAAAATCGTCTCCAATCGAGGGTTAGGCTAGAGGGCTTGTGGAATCTAAGAGGGTGACCAAAGGGCTAGAGGGCTGGCTACATGCAGCCAGCCCGGGGTTAGCCAGAAAAAACATTAATCATGTCGGTTATAACCGACTTAATATAAATGTATTCCTGTCGATTAAATTTGAATCCAATGGCTGCTAGATGGCGCTAGTTGCCTTTGGATCCTTTTTTATTTTATTTTTTATTTTTTAGGTTTTTTGGCCTTTTTTTTTTAATTCCCAAAAATTCTAATTTTTTTTCCTATAAATACCTAAACTATTCATTCACCATTCCTCACAAAATTTTCACCATTCCTACACCATTTCAATTCTCATATTTTCTTTCCTCTTTCAAAAATCTATCCTTCAACTTTTTGAATAATTTTCAAATGGCCTCGTCTGTAATGAAAGTTAGGGTTTGGACCCGAAAAGAAGATGAAGCTCTTTGTAAGGCTTATAGATGGGTGTCGGAAGATAGTGTGAGGGGGAATTGTCAAACAAATGACGGTGTTTGGACTCGTGTGTCCAAAATATACTTAGAGTTCTATGAAGGCACCACTCCAGTGAATATTTGAAACCACGAGAGTTGTTCTTCAAGATGGAAGAAACATCTTTAGCCAAGTTTGAACAAATGGCATCAAGCATTGTTAGCAGCCGCAAGTAGACATGAAAGCGGCACTAATTACTACGACGAAGTACGTGTTTTCACAATTTATTTTAAATATTTAATTATATTACATTTAATTTCATAAATTAATTTCCTTTAATTTTTTTCTAGGTACGCCAAGCGGAGGAATTGTATATGGAGAGCAGCTTGAAACCCTTTCAGTTTCACAGTTGTTGGGAAATTTGTAAAGGGTGGGTATTATTTGAAGATCCACCACATAGAGCTCCTACGCGAGATGTTCAGAATTGCATCCTCAGCTGCAGATATGGATGAAGATGGATCTCCAACCATTCAACAAACAAGGGTAGAAAGTCCGTCTTCAGGTGAAGGTTCCATACCTAGGGCTATGGGACGAAACAAGGCGCAAAGGTTGAAGGAAAAGAGCAAGGCAAATGATGATTACCCCGCTCAACATGAAGTGGCGGCCTTATTGCGATTAATAGCGGAGCAAAATGCCCTTGAGGTGGAAGAAAGGAAAAGTAGGCATGAAGAATGGGCCGAACAAATACAAGAAGAGATGGATGATAAGAATATGGAAATGAACACTTCGAATTACACTCCAATGAGTAAAGCCTATTTTGATAGGAAAAAAAAAATTTATGACTCAGCGGTAGTTGTTTACCTCTGACTATACTCCTACAATGGCGGATGATGAATGTCACATCCCGGCCCGGGGCGGATCACTTCCCGGGCCCACTCCACCACCGTAGCACGATATTGTCCGCTTTGGGCTTACCATTCCCTCACGGTTTTGTTTTTGGGAACTCACGAGCAACTTCCCAGTGGGTCACCCATCATGGGATTGCTCTAGCCCTCTTCTCGCTTAACTTCGGAGTTTCTATGGAACCTGAAGCCAGTGAGCTCCCAAAAGGCCTCGTGCTAGGTAGGGATGGGAATATACATATAAGGATCACTCCCCTGGGCGATGTGGGATGTCACAATCCACCCCCCTTAGGGGCCCGACGTCCTCATCGGCACACATGCGATCAGGGTTAGGCTCTGATACCAATTGTCACATCCCGGCCCGGGCCCCCATCACAACCCAGGCCCGCTTCACCACCGTAGCACGATATTGTCCGCTTTGGGCTTACCATTCCCTCACGGTTTTGTTTTTGGGAACTCACGAGCAACTTCCCAGTGGGTCACCCATCATGGGATTGCTCTAGCCCCTTCTCGCTTAACTTCGGAGTTTCTACGGAACTCGAAGCCAGTGAGCTCCCAAAAGGCCTCGTGCTAGGTAGGGATGGGAATATACATATAAGGATCACTCCCCTGGGCGATGTGGGATGTCACAATGAAGATGATGTTGATTATG